TCGTCAAGCTTTCGAGCAGCTCTTTCAACAAAAGCCTAATCCACCAAGATGCTCAAGAAGGGAGAGACGTCCAGGGACTTAGCGACCTGTGGGAGCTTTCTTATAGAAAGAAGATAGCATTATTTAAAGAAGGAAGAAAGCAAAGAAAAAGAAGGCGCAAGGGTGGATGGAATGAAGGCTCCTAGTCACTAAGTAGTGCTATTCGGGGGACTGGACAGAAGGAAGAGGTTCTTTCTCTCACGTAATTTCTTAGCCCCTTTCATTGTAGTGCCGGAGGAAATGGGATTCGAACCCATGATACAATCTTCTTGTATGTCGATTTAGCAAACCAAGCAAGGTAAGCTGCTACAATGAATGAAGAATCTCAGTTTACATCGGCCGGTGGAAGAAAATGAAAAGCTGGAATCTGAGAAGACAAGACCCCGCTAAGAGGTCTTGCCAACGAACGCCCTTCCCACCCACTCTTTTCCTTTGAAGATCCCCTGGTCAAACTATTACTTANCTCTCCCTCATCGATATCCGATAGCGGTCACTCTTCGGGCTACTTCCTATATGAGAATGAAGGCAATCCTTCAAAGCCAATCCCTAGGGAACTCATGCAGGAGAGAAAAAAGGAGAGAGAAGAAGCATCTAACTCATAAACGACTTTTAGGAGTGAATCTATCACAAAGAGCAGAGGATTCTATAACAGCGTATTCTTCCACTTATCTTCTGATCTTTTGTAGTAAACCTATTAGTAGCTCCTAGCCTTCCTCTAGTTCAAGAGTTAAGGGGCGTAGTGAAAGAAAGTTTGTGGAGAAAGATATCCTTCAAAGATATTCCACCCAGCAAGACAGTCACACCTTCTGAAGCTGAAGCAGTAGAGTCCTCACCCGGTGAGCAATGCGCCGTGGTAAGAAAAGAAGAAGAAGAAGAAAGCGCGCCTAGAACCAACAAAAAAGTCAAAATGCGAGCGGCCCAACGGGGCGATAATAAAGCGCGAACCAACATCCGTGATACGAAAACAAAAATCAGAATTAGGAAAAAAAGAATGCCGGGGGACAAGCCGGAAATCCATTCGGATCCCTCTATGAGGATTCTCCAAAAGCAGCGTACGAAAACACGTTCCAATAAAGTGGACAACTTAGTCATCATAGAGTAACTATATTTGGAAGATCTGCTCCCAATCCCGAAAAGAGAAAGGGAGACTTTGGTTTGTGGCGTAGGAGTTTTTTTTCCCAACGAAAAGCCTTCTTTTGAGAACGTGAACATGAGCGGTAGACTGAACACCCACACAATCTCGATTTTACAATTTAAGAAATGGAAGAATTGACTGTTTGATGCAATGAGACCGTTCATCTTACTACAGCAGAGAGGCTACCAGGACACGACCTTTCGCACAATGGAAATGGTACTACTGTGTCCCTAAGGGCCCCGTCTTCCTTTTCAGAGAGAACTGAATTAGAACATCTTTCTCTATGATAATTTGAGAGTCAAAAGGGAACCGAAAACATTGATTTTTTGTGAGAGCAATGATGAATCGAGCCAACTTAGAAGCGAAGCGCAGTGAAGTCATAGAAGAAACTATAGAACTTAACATACGCTCTTGTTGCGTTGCATTCCATTGTTTCAACCCTTCCCGGTAAAATGCAAGTATCCGCTGATACCGGATCGGATCACGAAGAAAGGGGAACAGCTTTCGCACTAGCAGAATGGGTACCACCGTCAAAACGGATTGAGAGGATCGATGTAATTGAGAAAGGAGAAGGCATGTTTGGCTGCCTTCGAAGGTAAGGTGATCTATCATGAGTGGGTCTAACGGGCTTTGTAGGGAGCACACAACTTCTCTTCTTCCCTCTGACGAAAAGCCCCAACTCTTGGTTTTCGCTCGCAACACAACAGTTCGTTCGATCTATTAACTTAGTGAACATCACTTTTTATGTTATGTACGAGTTAATTCGTGCCTATTTTCGAAGAGAAGGTACTGGGTAGCGATTACCAGTTTCTGTTGTAGACAAAGAAATCCATGACCAGTCGAAACTTCCATAAGAAAGACCTGCAAACCCTCGTGTTGATTGTACCAATCCCATCTCTCTGAGTCTGCGAATCTACTCTATTGTCCTTTCATCGGGCTTCGCTCGACTTGTTCTTTCGTCCGTTCTCGAGCTCCGGAATGAACAATTAGGTGCCTGTGATCTATCGTCAACCGCTTCTATGACTGAACTTCGCTTCGCTTCTAAAGTTGGGAAGGAAGATAAGCTTTCTTATGAACTGATAACAGAAGACCTGAGCTACCTTTTATACGTATATGTAAGCTCGAGGGAAGCTCCTTAGGAATGAAAGATGATGGCTCTACCGAGGGTCGATGTAATTGAGAAGTTTCTTCCCTATCTTTGAGAGACTAAGGTGGAGTGGAGTAACTAGTCATAAACAGTAAGTCAAGCACCCAAATTTTTCTTAGAAATAGAAGCGGCGTACTCCTTCTTTTCTCTTAGCCATATGTGCACGATCAGTAAAAGAAAAAAAAAGTCAGTCTTTGAAGACGTGCTCCGAGGTTCGTTCCCTCAAAAAGTTGGATCAGAAATCCTACCTACATGCCCGGGGAAGGGCTGAATGCCAACCAGTTCTAAATAATAAGAAGAAGGTGGTGGATGAGGCTCGATATAATTGACCTGATAAAGCTATAGCTGCAGTTCCTCAAGAGGACTTGTCAAGATGCATGGCTTATTTTTTTTGATGAGAATGGGTGTTGGAAGTGGGATAAATTTCAGCATCTCTTACCAGTGGCATCGTGTCTTAAAATAGCGGGAATTAAGCCGCCGAATCAAAGAGGTAATGGTGATCGAATCACTTGGGGACCATCAAAGAATGGAACATTCTCTATAAGCACAGCTTATGAGCTCATTGAAGGGGAAAATTGGGACCAACGTAGCAGGGAGTGGGAGATTGTTTGGAAATGGCAAGGGCCTCAAAGGGTTCGCTCCTTCCTTTGGCTTGTGTTGCATAATAGACTGTTAACAAATGAGCAGCGGAAACGAAGGCATATGAAAGATGTTAGCACCTGTCCAAGATGCAAGAAAGCTGAGAAAACTATAATGCATGCTCTTAGGGATTGTGAGACCATTAAACCTATATATATGGCTGCGCATGGTGAATCCGCATAAATGGAGTGTGTTCTTTTCCATGGGATTAAGGCAATGGATTGGCTCAAATCTGCAAAAGCACTTAGGGAAGTTTCAGGATGTTGAGTAGAGCACTCTCTTCGGCATCACGACTTGGATGATATGGCAGTGGCGTAATAAAGAGATTTTTTATGAGCAAGTTGAGTTGCATGGTGACCCAGTTGTGGTAATTTTATATAGGGACCGAGAAGTGCTCAAAGCACGTGAGTGTGAAGGGCAACTAAGGCCATGCAAACCAGTACGTGAGGAGAGGTTTATTGGATGTGGATGGGACTTTCCTCCCATGGAGGAGCAGGTGGAAGTGCTGTTGCTTGTGCAGCTGGAACATAAGGCTGAAAAACGGGAGGTGCAGAAGTTGAAGGAGTTGAGGGAGTTGAAAACTTCCAGAGCAGCCAACTCAGCTCTTTTTTTTTTTTTTATGCAAAAATTTTTTCAGATGTAGGAGGCCGATAGGCTGCATTTAATTGGGTTTTGGGGACTGCAATCTCGGTTAGATTGTCCAGACTTGTTGACTTATAGTCGCCGCTCACAACTTCTCCATACCGCTCCTGCATCTCCTGGGGATCCTCCTGCACAAGCACTGGATTCCACGGGACCATCATCACCGCCAGTGCCCTCTCCTGTACCTTCCCCGGATGCCCGCTCAGATCCTTCGACGTCCGATCTTGATCTTCCTATAGCTTTGCGTAAGGGCACCCGATCATGTACTACTCGCCATCCTATTCATAATTTTCTCACCTATACGCACTTATCACCCTCTTATGCTGCTCTAGTTTCCTCTGTTTCTGTTCCTAAATCTATACAGGTCAACTTTGTCGAGCCTTGACTTCACTTCGCTTCGCTTCTAAAGTTGGGTCCATCACCAGAGAGATTGAATCTTCAAATTCATAAATGATGTTCCACTTATATAAATAGAAAGCCAGCTCTATTTAAGCTCCATCTTTCTGTATCAGATTTATGATAAGGACGAATAATGTGTCTTTTCATCTGTTTTCCTTTATCCCTCACCTTTCTCTGGGCTACTATTTATTTTAGGCCGTGTTTACCAGCTCATATATATATATGTTGCTTCCGAAATGGAACTCGCTTCTGCGCTTCATACTTATGACGTACGGCCTGTTCATGTTGGTCATCTTACCTGATAGGTTCTCAAGAGCAGTCCATCTTCTTATGATTCTTATCAGGAATAATCCCATCGAAGCCTGGGTGAATCGACTCTCCATACTTAACACATGGGATTTGTGGATTGCACCTTTGATATCAACTAAGAACTTCCCAATCAAATAGATCTCCCCTGGCTAGTAATCTCACCGGTGAAGTTATAGCTCGAGTCGGTGAGAGGCGAGGTTGCCCGGGTCAACGGATCGAAGGCATTCTAGCAGTTCCCACCTGACTACGAAATAGGCTAGCTGACCTAGCAGTGAAAGACGAGAGAGCTGACCATAAAATGAAAGATGAAATAGCAGGTCCAGCGATGACATTTCTGAGGTCTGGCACCACATTGCTTTCGTTTAAAGAAAGAGAAGGTCAACTTCTAATCTCCTCTCCCTTTGGTCTTTGACTGAACTTCGCTTCGCTTCGTTCGTTGAGAGGAAATTGACCAGCTCACTAACGAAATTTAAGATCAGGGAATGTTACCCGAAGCATATCTCGTTGGATGGATGTCATTGCCGCGAAGTGAGCTTTTATGGGACTTTCACAAAGCGGACTACTATCAGTAGTATATGCCTTCCCTGGGAAAAGCGGTAGAACATCCTGATCTCAAAGCAAAGGAGAGCCTTGCTTTTTCTGTGCTGAGTCTATAAGCAAAGAGGGGGTGCCCAGTACACTTGAGATGCGTCCCAAGGTAGCCAACGACCAGTACTGCAACTGAAAGCCAGGGTATCTTACCGGAAGGCGGAGTTGGAAGACGTTCTTGGTGAAAATCCAATTCGTGAGAAGAGTCAAAGCGACAGGAGGGTTAATAAAAGACAAGAAAGCCAAGCTGCAATAGCAATCCAGGAAGAGCACACCTTATTATTCTTTAATCGAAAAAAAAAACTAGAAATAGAAAAAGGGCATAGCTTCTAATAGAAGATAGCCCATGTATTTAAGTTGCCAGATTACACTAATGAAGTACACACGCACGCGGCAGACATAAGATGTTGAATTAGTAAGACTTTGAAGCCTTATGACTATATGAAGTGAGGTTCGATGTAATTGACCCAGTGAGAGTCATATTCAAAAGCATAAAGCTACTGACTTTCACTGCACTAGTTTAGTCTAGTGGCTGAACCCTCCTTTCCCTCTCTGACTTATCAGTGACGCAAGCATCCCGCTTTGAAGCTTGCGAAGTGAAGTTACCAGCTTGAAGTTCAGTTCCAAGCAAGAGGAGTGAAGTGAGAAGGATGGGCTAGTTCTGCAGTTGTTGTGCCTGCCTGTGGATGAGGGCTAGAAAGTAATTGCCTCAGAGAGGTCTGTGAGCTCAGAAGGAAATGTGCCTCTCAAACTCCTACTTCACTAGATGAATTTTGTATGCACGAGTCTCTTCCATTATCGAGACTAGATCAAATAGAGCAATTCGTAATACTCTCTTCCTTCCAGTCCTAAATAAGGCCAGTCTCATATAGCTTTAATTTGAATCAAATTAAAGAAAGCTGAAGTACATCATTAGGTTCGAATTGGGTCTGTTAAACATATAGCATCACTAGCTTCATTATGCTTTGCTCTGCAGTCAATGTGTAGTCATTACTCAATTACACCTTTCCTCTCCGGGACTGGGGAAGCTGAAAGATTATGCCCCGGAAATGCTTGCAATTGAGAACATTGAAGCCGGGAAGTTCAATGCGAAGATGGCCAGGCTCTTTATTCGTCATCCGATGAGCTTCACGTGGCGGCCCTACAAGCATGGTATTTAAGAGATGCCCTAAATCTTGTATGATTAGTCGACAAGGTCGATGAAAAGGGCCCTTGCTACTTATTGCTGTTGTGAAAATGCATCAAAGATAGTATCTGATCTCCATGCGATGCGGCATTCTGACGTTACGGCAGGGCAACGTGCTTCGGGCATAACCGTACAATCTCCACCAGTTTGCAAGACAATTTTGTTTTGACCTTTTTTTTCATTCTGGCACCCGGTCACGACGTCAAGCGCTTCATCTTTAACCTTTTCGGAACTGGCAGAATACTGGGCACATATGATGAGAAAGGTCACCGGGGCTGCTTTCGTGATAATGCCGGATGACAGAGAGGGCAAGATGTTCTTTCCGTATGTCCGATGGTGGTCATCAACTGACGTTTTCTTACTTCTCGCAAGGAATCAACAAGCTTTTGACATTCAAAGAGCAGCAACTCCCTGATCAAGAAAGGGTTGAGAGTCGAAGTCCTCCTCCTCCTGAACCCACATATGGACTCATTCCCGAGCAGAGGCAGCCATCCAGATCATCGCAACATCGGAAAGGTCACCAGCCCAGGCCAGGCAAAAGCAAACCCGGACCATGAAAGTCAAAGGAGGTTCAGCACCCGTCAGCCAGCATGCATTCTCAATCAGGGAAGAAAGAAGAAGTCCCATCATTTCTTCAGCACCGTCCTCGGCTCAACGGATGGTGACTCGAAGTATGCGGGCCCGCCAAACAAACTCAACCGGCTCGCTCACTTTCAAGTTCAAAAGTCGTAAGCCGAAACTAAAGCATCAGAGTTTCATCTTCAGTTCCACCAGCTACACAAAAATCGCCAGCATCACGAACACCATCTGCAGCACTCAAGGCACCCGAGCAAGAGCAGGCTGCCTCGAAAAAACGGTCGGGCAGAAGGTTTGCCCTCTGTCACCACTTTGTAGTGTGGTGTGCAGCTGAGGAGGAAAACCCCGGGCGTCGTTTTCGGGATTACGCCCTCCTTGGTGCTCCGCCAAGGTGCCAGCATGGGATTGGTGCATGACCTCCATCGCTTCATCACCTGATAGACACCTCAACAGAATTCCCGATAAGCCTCTTTTGAATAGCTTACCATCATTCACGATATACGGCCATCTTCTTTAGCTTATTCGCTTCGTATCTATCATCCGGTAAGGTTCCTTTTGTCAGATACTCGATATATGGCTGTCTCCAATCCACTACATCGATAAATGCACATGGATGCCCGATAGAGCAGAATGTGCATTTTAGACAAGCCTCCTCCCTTGTAGGAAAGCGAAAAAAGAAGTTCCAGAGGCATCTTCCATTCATATCGATTTTGGTTTTTCCGCACCATATTTTGATCTGCCTCTTCTTCGATCCGGAATTCCCAACAAATCCCTGACTCCTCGAATACAATGGGATTTCACACCTGGCAAATCTTTGACTCTACCTCCTCTTATTAATACCTTAGAATGTTCCTGCGAATTATGACCTTCGCCTGGAATGTGAGCAAATATATCATGTTTATTGGTCAACTGTACTTTGGCTATCTTACGTAGAGCTGAATTAGGTTTTTTCGGTGTTCTCGTTGAAACACGCGGGCATACTCCTTCCTTCTGAGGACATTGATCCAAAGCTCGAGTACGGTCCGTACGCCGTTTTTCTTCTCTACCATGACGAATCAATTGATTTAATGTAGGCATCGCTATTTCCTTTGTCCTTCCCCTCTGAGCCCTATCACTAGTGATTACTCCCGATCCGAAGCACCCCTTTTCCATTCATAGAGAGATCCAATCGTCAAAATCAATAAAAAGGCCATCATGGACCAAGATCCAAAGAGATCAATCTTGTTGGGAGGTACTGCCCAAGGAAAGGAAAAGGTAACTTCCAGATCAGGAATAATAAATAAAATTGAAACAAGATAAAATCGTATATCAAAACGACTTCTGGCATCACCGGAAGGATCGAAACCACATTCGTAGGCCGACAATTTTTCTGGATAGGTCGAACTATTGGAAGAAAATGGAAAAGGAAGACCGAGTGGGATCAAAGAAACTAGCGAACTGATCACTAAATAGATCAAAATAGGTTCAAATTCGGACATCACCACAGCACACTTCGTTCTTTCACTCCTTGCTCGCAGAGTGACATACCGAAAAAGAAAATAAGAATGAGACTGACGAAGGGAAGCGAATTGGATTTGAACCAATCAAGCTACTTGTCTTTTAGTAGATCGTGACTATGATTTGAGATCGCTGAGTTATTTAAGCAATTCTTGATATATTCTATATTATTTTTGAGTCTTTCTTTTTTCTTTTCTTGTACCCGGTACCCCTATACATTATGACACCAACCCAATCTCGACAAAGTGAAAAGTGGAATCGATTCGATCATTCAAGTCGTACCGCATTTTTCTACGCCGACCTACGTTAAGAGCTTTCTTCTCTTATCAAATTGATGCTTCTCCCCGGCCCCAAAATCAAAGCAAGAGGAAAGAGTCCCGCAGTGCGTATTCCATCAACAGTAAGGGAAGAAAGGAAAGCAGTCAAGCCTAAACCTTACTTACTCCTAGTAGGAGCGGAGCCCTTTTGAATGTTAAGTGGATTCTGTAAGAGTAACGGCGTATTCTCTAGCAGCAGCAGCAGATTCTGTTCCTCAAATCCCAAACAAAAGGAGTCGGCCTTGGAGGTCTTTGATAAAGAATTAATGGTCTTTCGTTCCCTCTCCCATACTACTTCTGACTTCACTGCGCTTCGCTTCGTTCGTTGGGTGAAGAGAAGAAGAAAAGTGCGTCCCGAGGGTAGGGGAGGCAGAACCTGGAAATGAACCAATGAATGACTATAATAGTATGCAGGATGGAACCACCTTTTAGGGTACAAAACCGATTCCCTTATAATATAAAAGGGGTTCGTGAATAAGATGTCCTGCGCTCGGACTACGAGTGAGAGTGAGCCCGATAAAGCAGACAACCTGGAGGGAATTCCTCACAAAGAGGAAAGCCTTAGCCTTATTTATATAGTAGACGATTTTCCACCTAGAATGAATGAAATAGAATCGTATTAATAAGAGATTCGAGGTCCTATAGCTAGACGGCCGAGAATGAATGTGAAAAGAAGATGAAAGAATCGTGTGAGACTATAGCTAGCTACGATCCCCTACAAGAGGAATCACTCGACTTAGCCGCGGGCGGGCTTCGAGGACCCTACAACCTAATATTTGTTGCATGGATGCAGGAAGAGCGCTTTCTTTGGGATCATAGGGTACAATCTATTCTGACTTTTTATAGTACACAACCGGCTTTCTTAATAAAGAGAAGTTGGGGACATAGTAAACCTCACCCTAATTTGACATCTGCTTGAACTCCCGATCTACTTTTAAACAAAAAAACTTCTCGAGCTGGATTAGAAGATTAGTATATTCATTGCCTGCTTACTTTCTTTCCAAAGCCCTGCATGAGCAAGCCAAGCTACTCATGCCAAGCACTTCGAGACAGGGCAAACTTCGAGCGTCAACTAATGGATTAGCATGTTTAGTCAGTTCCCCGGGGCGATTTCTTTCCTATGCTTGCTGGCTAAACAGAGTTGCCTTCCACACGTGCACTGAAACCATAGTCTGCTACTCGCCTTAGGCCCTACGTCTCTTGCCTCATTCTCCTATCTTAAATAAGGCCTTTTCGGTGGCATAAAAGCCTTGGAACGGCTGCCGCGCCTGATTCGACTCACCAGGCCTTCTTTGTCTTCGCATTACCCTAGTTCCTTAATCCAAATAGCCATAGGAGAAGCTGAGCTAGCCTTCCCGTAGCTAAAGTTCTCAAACAAGAGTTCCATTCCCCAACCTCGTATTGCAGGCAAATCCCCTTACTAGTAGTTCTGGTTAGCCCACTTGCCCGAGCACACTCTCAACTTGTAGATGCGCCAATCCCCACGAGAACAGAAAAACCAAGAGACCACGAACACCAGCACGCATGAAAACAGCCCTTTTGAAAGCATACCCATCCAATCTGAACAACTAGACATCGAATGGCCCCGTTCGAACACTACTTCTAACGAGCAAGTTAGTAGCCTACCTCGGCTGCCTCCTTCCTCTATCGACTTCTGCTCACGATGCCAGATCACCACTTTCATGATTGGCACAGGAAGTCCTCCATTGAATTCTTATTCTATCGGCGCAATGAAAGCAATACAGCGTCCTCCCATAACCCATTTACTAGGGTTGGCCTAAAGACTGGAAGCATTCTTTCTGTCCTCTCGGTGGAATACCTTCGACGATGCTATCATCGCAAGAGTACAGCCATCTCTGGCAAATGGAGCCGTCTCTTTTGTTGCTTATCCTAATTTCGCTGTGTCCATCACTCATCCAACCATCTTCGGTTGCATAAAAAGCGAACACTACTTCCTACTGGTTTGATTGAATCGCTTGCATGGCAGGCTAAGGCAAGCCCTTTGGAGACAAGAAGGAAGATTCCATAAGATTGGGTCGGGCAGGGAACCACTGAATGGGGGCGGTGTAGCGGGAAGGTATGAGATGAACCAATCCTATGAAAGTGGCTGATCTTTGATTGAATCGCGGGTGTGCTTTCCCATGAAATTCTAGGCGTGAGAGAAGACTTTCATCAACCGACCCATCAACTACTGTAACTGGATCCCAATAGTTAGGTAAACTACACTGGACGTGCTTACCGTATCCCCCAGAAGGGTTAGCAGGGAAAGCAGCCTTGTTGATTAAAGTAAAGGACCAGGGGCGCTTTTGTAAATGGAAATGGGAAAGAAGTTCCTTCCCAGCAAGCAAGAAAACTACTACGTGAAAAAGATCTATTAGTATGAAAAATCTCGATTCTTAAGAAGCAATCAAACTACTGCGCGGTAGTTTACTAACGCTTACGGCTTTCGCGCTAGTCGCGCTCAATCCGCTGCTTTTATGTTCCGTTGCTTTTATGTTCAGTGCCGGTGTAATTGAGTGCTCTTAACCCGAAGAAGGTATAGGAAGAAAGGGATGCGTTGGCCGGGTATCTGTATCCCGACGAGTAGAGTCAGGCAAAAGTAGACCGGTTGGTCAGTGAACAGCAGTGGTCCAAGTACCCAAGGGACCCCGCCTCTTTAGAGGGGATTTCAATAATGGAAGAGCTTAAGCCAGGGGTTTTTTCTTCTACCAAAGCTTATTCTGAAGCTTCTTCTGCTTCAACCCCAGAATCGGGGAGCTTAGGTTTAGGTAACGAATCTCCCTCACAGGATGTTCTATTCAACCAAGTGGAGGGAACGAACGAAGCGAAGTGAAGTCATAGAGGATCAAGGGGTTTTGAAAGCGCCCCATCGTACGTAATCTATGTCAGCAGCATCAACCGGGACTATACCCATTTACTATTCATACTAGGTCAAAGGAAAATCGAAAAGATCAACGACTCGTCTAAAAGAATCAAAGATCCACGAGCATCTTACAAAGGCAATTTCTTGATTAGTGATTAGCGATCAGTCTACCAAAAAGAAAGCGAGTCCTCTGCTCGGTAAAGGAGCATTCAGGCATCGGGGGAAGAGCTCAAAGCCGAGGAGAGCCCTGTGTCCCGCTGATAGAATGGAAAGGGAAGGGCCAGTATCGATAGAGACTCGAAAACCATCGGCGGAGGCGGTCCCCCTTTTCACCAAGGAAGGGACGAGCCGCATTGACGATGAAGAAAAGGTAACACGAAAATCTCTCTTCTATGACTGAACTTCGCTTCGCTTCGCTTCTAGTATCCTCTTCAAAACCCGAAAGGGATTCGTGAACAACTGCAGCTCATACTCTGACAACGGATTCAATGGTATCGCTTATTCATTCCTTCAACATCTGCTTTAAAGAGCTAAGCCCGGGTGAGGATGGAACTCTCAAGGCGACATCTGTGAGATGAGAAGAGAAGTCGAAAGCGCTAACAACGGATAAGCATTCACCAACAAGACCAGACAGACCGGCTATTGCAAGAACAGGATTACGCATGAAGTGAGATCAATTACATCGAACCTTTCTAACTCTCACACCGGTTATTCAACCGCAGATAGGCTCAGAGCTCCTACGCTACGAACACAGCGGATATTGAAAAGAGCGCTTACTCTTCTTGCAGCGGAGTAGTCAAGTAAGGTAGGTAATTTGGAGGATAATCCCTTTCTTCGTTATGGTGTTATAGAGCGTTAAGCATAAGTGCTAAACCTTAGATTTGACAAAAACAGTAATTAGACCAACTGAAGCAAGGACTAGTGAAGCAAAGACTAGCAGCGGATCTGGATCTGGAACATCGGATCTTCTTCACTCTTACTATGTAACCTGTACTGTGCCTATGAACTCATCCTAAGCTAAGGCAAGAGCGGATTCTCCGACATTGATCTTACTGTTGACTCTTTCCTTTCCTAAGGCAGTAGATTCGGGATCTAAAACTCATTTTCTATGCCAATATAAGGCATAATCTTTATTGATTCTAAAGCGGTTTTCAAGTATGATTTTAATGCCCCAGTCCGGAATCAGCCTCCTTAGCAAAGGCAGCCATTCCTTTTCTATTTCATGCTTAGACTCCTAAAAAAAATGGGAGTTTATTTTCTTCATGCCATCTTTCATTCCCTTCCTTTCACCGACATCTGGCATATTCACCAGCCCCTATTCCGAAAAGATAGAAGTGGGCATCTTCCTTTCGCGGATTCTCAAGCAGCGGATAAGGAAAGAAAGACGGAAGGCAAGTCGTCGACTGACCAATGGGGGGCGCTCACTTGGCACACTGAAGCTTGACATCCTTTTCCCTTAAGGCTATCGGCAGAGGTCTTTCTTCGTGCTTGGATTCCTTCTCACGAGTTGTGATTCTAAAGTCAAGCACTTAGTAAGCGGGAAAAACCTTGTATAAGTGCAGACTAACATTTGGTTATTGGACAGGAACGACTTTTTCTTCTCCGATCAGCCTTCATTAGATACGGACACTGGAAGAAGAGTGGATTTTTATTCTGCTTTGGTTGCTAGCGAGTGAGGAAGAAAGAAGTGCCATGAGAAAAAAAATCAAAGTCTGATTTTTTGTTGGTTGAGGGGTTCAGGTCAATTACATCGAGCCAGAGCAAGCAAGAAATCCTCTCTTTCTGTCGGGGAGTCAACTAGTACGCCCGATGCACCACTGACATAACTCCTTTGTTATCCCTCTCGCTTGCCTACGGTCTCTCGTCTGTCTCCTTTGGTCACCCTATCCTTGATAGCATGTTTGAACTCTCATAATCTACGATTAGGTAACTGGAATTTCTCCTTTAGAGTTCCGTCATGTTCTTGCCGTACCGTACGCTAGTAGCAACCGGGGCTTAGTGGAGCCATGGTGCGAACTAACGGGGCAAACTACGGAGAGTAAGTAAGTTCTAAGGGAGACAGTCGCCTTTGGTCGACATTCACTACCTACCTCCCTCAACGCACGCAGACAGAAGGAAGGTTCCTGCAGCTAGACACTCCCACCTCTCAAACAAGTAGTGAGTCAGGAGCTGACCTTATTTTCGGATACCTACGCGGACACGTATCGAGTTCGAGCCTTGGTGGCATGCTCGCTTGGCACACGTACCCTCGATAGACAAAAGACAAAACGAGCGCTGTCGCTTGCTTCGTACGTCAGGACACATTTCCCATTTCTAGGAATGAGCGAAAGGGGCATCGAAAAATCTCAGCAATAAATGTCTTTCTTCTTCTATTTTTGACTGAACTTCGCTTCTAAAGTTGGGTGTGATTGGTGATGATGCACCTGCCAAAGATAATGATAGAGAGATTGTCGTTGTTGATAATGGAGAGATTGGGAAAGCTCCTAAATCGTAGAGGGCTAGAAAGGAGAAAAGGAAGAGTAAGTTGGGTCCGTCTAAGGGGGTTGAGTTGGCAAAGTCGAATGGGCCTTATGGGGATTCTAATTCTGAGCCCAAGCTGGGTAACAAGGGTGGGAGAGGAGCATAGGCTAGCCCAAAGACGTTGGGCTCTAGTCAAGTTGTGTTGCCTTCTTTTCACTCTAGTAGCACTTCGCAAAGTTCAGGGGTGGTGCAATTGTGGATATGGAGATTCATCATACAACGCCGACGGTGGTTGGTTCCAAGCTTATTAATTCCGCCGGGTTGCTTCCTGGATCGGAGCATTCGGGCGATCCTCCGGACTCTTTGCTTTCGACGACGGAGGTTAGGAAGGTGGATGGGAATTTAGTTACGGGCATGGAGATTTGTCAACATGGTAATTCGGTGAATGATGGCTCTGCTCAGCAGGGGAATACTTCTCTTCGTTCTCAATGATAGTGATCTCTTGGAATTGTCGGGGGATCGGTCCCAGTAGAGGCTCAGCTCTTTCAGACCCAACTTTAGAAGCGAAGTTCAGTCATAAAGGGTCGAGCCACTTCGTGCCAAAGAAAGTTGGCATTCACTTGATCCAGACGATGACAAATAGATGATGCCGGAAGTCAAGCTGTTTGCATTGTATGCAAAGGAATAGCAGAGGTCGTAGATTGGATTAAGGTTCGTCTCCCAGCCGGACTAAGAATTTGACCCTTCCAACCTGCCAATCTTTGCAAGACTTTGTCAACAATAGGGGCATATAACTCCTTAAAGGCACGCCCATGAACAATCGGCACTCCACCACGAAAACGAAGATTCGGATGGGTTGGATGCTTGGTCTAGCGAGCCTATGGCTTTTTAAATCAAAATCACCGGTTAGGAAAAACATCGCATGATCTGGTGCCCACTGAAGAACAGAGAGCTGCAGGGGATTGAAAGAGACATCGCCTAGCCCATTCCCGTTTTGGTCGGAACTACTTATTTGTTTTGTTTGGCTCCTTATCTGGATCGAAGAAGAGGTGCTTTATAATAAATGTTTAAGAAAAGAAAAAAAGCATTCCACCTTCTTTGGGGAATGCTTAAATTCAAACTTGCTGGAAAAACTCCTGCTCTTTTCAATATTCCTTCCTTGGGAAACTTTCAAACTTAGAGCCCCCTTTCCTAAGCTAAGCGCAGGCAGCGAGTGAGCAGCATATGAATCAGAAATCGAAGAACGGGATGCTGGAGGATGGTGATTGTCGCTTTATGACTTCACTTCGCTTCGAAAAGTTTGTATGGTAGAGCATTGGGCTTTTAACCGCTCCGTGGGGGTCGTCAATTGCATCGAACCTGCTATACCCAAACCTACCTTACGCTGCTATACTATTAGTAAGGTGTTACTAAAGGATCGTTCAAAGATCACTCTTTGGCCTTTAGACTCGCTTCCGCTACCCTTATAGTGTGAGGGAAAGGCGCGATGTAATTGCCCTATGACGGGAGTGCAATAGAGAACGGTCAAAGGTCTAGAAAACAGAGCTGAACTTGGCTCTCTCCAGGAGTCTAGATCCGTGGGTTGTTGATCGTAGGTAGGCCGAAACCGATCGATCTAAAGGTTGGAAGGTTTTCGAAAAAGGAACGAGTTGAAGTCAAAATCTGAGTTTGATCCTGGCTCAGAAGAATTCCCGTAAGGGATACCGATCCTAGATCGTTCTCAATAGGAATCAACTAATTCAGTCGAGCTACCAATGGGTCTTTTCAAGTAGACTTGAAAGCTTATTCGTGACTACCCGTGTCAGATCATCTTTCTGATTTGGTTAAAACTCCCAACTCATAATTGGCGAGTGGAGGCTCGATATAATTGACCTTCTCTCATGCCTTCTTCCTTCGTTCCGAGGTGGTGACCGGCTAAAGTCTCGTGAAAGGGCTAGTGTTCCCGCTTTATTAGTAAGAGGAAGGAGTAGTAGCTACGCTGCTAACTAGGTGTTCCAAAGGGGGGTGAAGCTACGTAGGTGTATCCATTCAAAAGGGGTACTCGACTTCTATGACTGAACTGAACAAGCAACGGATTGAGCAACTAGCGCGAAAGCCGTTGCGCGTTAGCGCATCCGTTTTCTTGCTGCTTCGAAAAGTTCGTTGGGGGACAAAGGGTATATTCTCAAAGAAGAAAGGAACAACCGAGAACAGCCCGAATGGTTGGCAAAGAGTTTGAAAGAGCTGAGATTTATAGTCAGGCGAATCCGTATGGTTATTTTGGCTTCTGCCTCTTTGAAACCGACTCTCCCTATTCATCGGCTTTACCATCCTTTTCTATGTTATTTTCATTAGCGCATGTCTGGGTTGAAGGCGGATTATTTGATTCGGATCGAGTCGAGCCAGGTCCGGCTCATCCATTCCCGTCTATTTCGTTCAACAAACTATGGTAAGGCAACAACCAACCCGGCCTTTCAATTGTTGAAATGCACCAAACCAACCCTTTGTAGCAGCAACGCCAAAAAGCCTCGCAGAGACGTCTTACCCGTAGCGTAGGGGCGAATAGGACGTGGATATAGGATCCAAGTACACTATGTATTTCATACATACTGCAGCGCTTATGTATAGAATACATACTACTGGATCTGAAAGAGATAGGCGAACAGGCTAACTAGCTGATTTATTGCTGCGTAGCACAGGGCTGAGCCAATAGCAGCGAACAGGAAGTTTGGAAGAACCGATAGGGTCAATGTAATTGAGTCGTACAAATGAGATAATGTAGCTACGCGACGAATGAATAGGCCTTGGAAGAGACACCATAATTGCTATGAAAGCCGCTATACTGGAAGAAGAGCTAATAGTCGTAAAACGAAGATGCGTAGCGAAGCGACTAAACATTATATCGATGAGAAAATGTAGTTTTCAGGCTTTCCGAATGTAGCTTCATCCCTACGCAAAGAAGAGGACCTCTTTCTTTATCGATAACGGTCTTCTCTGTCTTTTTGTAGCAGGGCAGCCTCTTTTTTACCATGCCTTTGTTCGTACTTTATCACTATGTCTTAAATTGGTGCTGTGCTGAACAGACCCGGGATGCTTTTCAGAGGGTATGCTATACTAGGCGATGATATTGTAATCACCGACTCTAGGGACAAGTATATGAGCTAGCTCTGGTGAGCTAACAAATAAGTTATCAGTTCCGGAACTGGCTGAGTTTACCAAAGGCTTTAGGGTAGGGAACCTTACAAAGTCTCCGCGAGACCTATATCGGTCAGGGCCTTGCTGAATACAATCCACCCATACGGGATGATTGGGATACGTAGGGTATACAAATACCAATGCCCGGGGGAGTTCATTATAGGAGTCTGTCCAATCTATCTCACCAACCCCGTAAAGTACAGCGGCTGAAAGCGGGACCTTTCCAACCTGCCTTTTTTTCTTTTGAACGTGGGCGACCACTGGATCCTAACATAACATAAAGGGCCGGCAAATCAGTCTATTCATAAAGGAACCGAAGCCAGTGTCCTAACAGATCAAAGGAAGGCTCAGAGTCTGTCTAACCCGGCTCAGCTGATCGTTGACAAGGTTTGATGTAATTAACCTCCCGAACATCGAGGCTCGATATAATTGACCTCTGTTTCGCCCCAACGCGTAATCTCCGCATTCAAAACACTTCCCTTCGTACCCTTCGCCTGTAGGCTCAGCTCTTTCAGCCCCAACAAACTTTTAGAAGCGAAGTGAAGTTGATTCTAACGAAGGGGGGAGTTTTTTTCTATTGTAAAGCTGCAGAGGGAAAGAAGAGCTGAAATCTTTTTTGAAGATCTAAAGGAAATGGATTGAATCGCACGAGGGGCTTTTTGCGATGCGAAAAGGCTATTAAGATTTCGTAGCAGGTTTTTTCGGAAAACTCTATTTATTCTGGTGTGGATGGCGGGCAGGCCTATATTCCTTGGTTCAATAATGTTGGGACTGACAAGAGAGAGGAGCTTAGGGGAGTCCGTTTTTTCGATGAGCTAACTAGGAGCTTTTGAAAGAAAGACCTGGGATTGTTTTGTTAACTTAAGAAGACGCATCGGTCTTCCAAGGAGGAACGAATAGGTTTCACAACTCCTCCACCTAAAAGGACGGCCTGAACTCGGAATAGAGATCGGGATTCGAACCCAACTTTAGAAGCGAAGTGAAGGCTTTTGCGAACATTTCGGGAACCTTTGCCCAACAAGAGGCCGCTTATCCAAACTCATCCCCGGGTCAAAAACAAACGAAGCAGGTCGAGATCGATGCCATGACGTAGTGAAGTGTCGGGAAAGTCCTTGACTCACAGGCGGGTGCCATCCTTATTCTGACTTCACTTCGCTTCGAAAAGTTTCAGGTTTTCAGATGCTCGACTGAAAGGAGAGGAGGGCTTGTGAGTCTCGACGCGAAAGGAGAGGTTTGATGCTTTTGAATATGACTCTCACTGGGTCAATTACATCGAATCTTTTAATGAGTTTTGATCCCTCCTCTAAATGGATCAGACAGTTAGTTTCCCCTAGCTTTCAGTCTTCGGCTTGAACTGCCACCGATACATGCTTACTCCTTTTCCCTTCCAGTCTCTGTGGATGTCTGGTTCAACTCCGAAAGTGAAGGCTCGATGTAATTGACCTGTCTCTCTCGGTAACGAAGAAGCCAACTCCATGATTTTCGGAAAAAGCTTCTCGGCTTGCCTACCGCGATAAAGTGAAAAAGGAGCCAACTTTAGAAGCGAAGTGAAGTCAGAAGTAGTTCAAGAGCTTTAGGCCGGATACTAGCTTTGCTCTAGTTGCTTTTCTATGTTGAGTGCCGTTATGGCGGGGACCCTTTCACTCTTCCATCTTCAGCTGGTCTATTCTAAAGTAGAATTCGCCCAAGAGCGGAGGAAAGACCCGCTGCGACATAACCAGTCTTCCATCCAAATCATGGAGAAAAAGCCATAGGAGTTTGAGGCCTTTTATGGAAGATTTTCTTTCCTTTTGATCCCTCTATCAAGTTCCAAAAAGCTCTTTGGAGCCAAAGAGAAGCCTTCTAGGGATCAACTCATGGGTGAAGTCAAAGAGCGTATTTGGAGAGGATAAGGCTCGAGCTAAAAGCGAGAGGGTGTGGACGAGACAAGGCGGATTCCCGCTCAATTTCACTCTACGAAATAGGCGTAAGCGAATCACGTCTTTTTTATGACTTCACTTCGCTTCGCTTCGTTTGTATAGTCTCACAAGCCCGGAGAAGGAGGGATTAGCCAGGCTACTCAGAGGATGTCGGTGCCTCGGGTCAAGGTAAATTCTCTACTTGTCTTCACCTTCGGACATCAAGAAAGCCGAACTGACTCGCTGGCTTTGCTTTGTAAGGGCTTTCAGAGGGCTTGACCTCTGATGTATGGAAGTACGTGGTTGAAGTTCATTCCTCGGAAATGCAGCCGGAGGGCAATCTGTCTTTTTCCCCGGTCTGGTATGTCTTTTGCGCCAGCTTTCTTTCCTATTGGTTACGGTTCTCTTGTCTCGGTCATCTCATTTTATGGTTTCAGCATATGGCTATGGCTCCTGACCATTCAAAGTAGTCATTCTTTTCCAAGAATGCATGGCATGCTGTTCCAACTCAGCGTTCATGTCATCATATTTGTGATGCTCGCTTTCTTTTATTGCTTGGCAGCTTTTCAAAATCTTCCGGATAGTCACCGCGCCATTCATAGCCAGCAGGGAAACAGCCCTCCTCCCTCAAGATGGTCCGTCTTGCTTCTGCTTGATGGAAACTAGGGTTCAAGTTCAGACTTTTCGAAATCAAGACATGGCGGGGGCAGGGATTCTTTTCATGACCCCAACAAGGTTCTCCCTCTTTAGCTAGAAGTCCCCTGTTCTGCTCCTATACTTGATCTTATTGATCGAATTCTAAGAAAGTGGATATTAAAGTAAGCCAGAAGCCACTTTCGTATAAGCACCTTACAGTTTCTGTGCTCATTTACGCAAATATGAAACATCGGAAAAATCCAGTTTGATCGACCCCTGGGGGACTGAAAGTCCATCTTTCAGACTTGTAGCGCCGACCAGAACTCTGGAATGGACTAAGGAGCTACCGATCTATCTCCTCGAAAGAAAGGATTGATGAAACATATTCATTTCGCCGGATCCTGAACACTGAATAGAAACTTCTCGAGCGATGATCCCACTCATGGACGAGACACCTTTGATCTTCCAAAGTCCATTCTCTATTCTAGATCTTCAGGTTTATGTCGCTTATGAATAAGACCAATTCATTCTATTGTGGAGCGGAAGCCATAATAGAGATAGAGTCAGGGGTGACCGATTGTCCGAGACTCAAAGAGAGAAGGGCGTTTAGCGCTATCCCTGGCCGGGGAAGCACTAGCGATAAAGCGAATAGGGTAGCGACGACGGCCCTGTTTTCTTCATCCGAGTTGCATCTCCGCGGTGGTGCCAAATACTCGTGGATTCTGAGCAGTGGATTTCTTTCGGAGCAATCCAGTTTCATCGACCTAAGACCCTATAGTGAGTAGTTAGGGGACTGAAAGTCCATCTTTCAGTTCTGGAGTCGTAGCGCTACCGATACATGAGCTAGAGAGTTTAAGGAGCTAGATAGAAACCTGTCCAACAGACATGAGATTGAGGGGGTCACTGACATCTAATTTCGCCTCTAACAGTGGATCTCAAAAAGACTAAACTCATCTTCAACATCCCTACGGGTTTTTGGTGATTGATGATTGAAAAAGAGGTTCGCTAAAGGTGCTCTATAGAGCGCTTTAGTGTAGCTAATGGTTCATGTAGCTTAGCGCTTGTGCTAAGCGAGTTTCATTCCTTAGCGCAAATCCTAGCTTCAGAAGCTGGAATACGAATACCAAAAAGAGAGATCCGTTCCTAAGATACCAAATCCACCAAAAGAAAAAAGCAAGGCGCCAAAGAGCCGAGAGCAGCGGACTGAATCGCCAACTCATAGCCTGAATAAAGAAATGATGAAAGCCAGCTGTGAAGTCCAAGCGAATCTTGAAGACCGTGGCCAGTCAAAGAGAACGGGCAAAGATGCAATTGGTGAAAAGGTGATCGATTGATTCACCCTCCTGCATGCAAAGAAGGTTTTGGACCAAAAAATCCCCGATTACGCGTCCAGAACCTGAATACGACCATGGATGACACGCCAAAGCAAGAGGGATCACCTAGGCTGAATAAAGGAATCCAAAAAATCCACTTACCCCAGAAAGAAGGGCGAAGATGCCAGTAAGCGAGTCGGGAAGACCCCATGCACCGAATTGCACCACACTCATGAGTCCGATGAACCTGGACAAATAGCAACCTGAAGAATAGAGAAAGTGCTTTGAAGATCCCTTGAAGGGAATCACCAATCCCTATGGACTATCGTTAGAAAGATCTAAGAAAGGTAGGCCAATCCTTAGAAGTGAAAGAAATTGAGAAAACAATACTGATGGCGGTGAAAACCCTATATTCAGTATTGAGTATTGGCATCCGGATCTATTGTTGGGTATTGCCAGGGCTGTTGGAACTCCAATGAAACTGGATACACACACGGTTCAAGGGATGTACGGACACTTCGTCCGAGTGCTGGTGGAAGTAGATCTCTCACTCCCCAAGACCTGGTAATGGTGGAACGCGTTGGTTATTGCTTGTTCGTTTCCATCGCCTTCGAGCGCATGCCAGAATTCAGTTCACAGTGCAATATTCTTGGGCACTCTGCAGCTACTTGTTGGAAACATGTCCCCCAAAGATTCGAATCCCTAATGGAATGGAGGACTCTCGGTCTTTTGAACCCCTATTACCGGGGCGTAAATCTCCTTTGTAAAGTCCCTCCTTTTTCTTTTCCTGCCTCACAGACCTGTGATCAAGGAGCGATAGAATTGAAGAAAGTCCTTCTTTTCCGGATATAAAGTTTTCGAGAAGGGAAGGAAGGGCGGTGAAACCTAGTATCAGAATTTGGCCTTTAAAGCATCCTAAGCAATCCTTTCTATCCTATCAGCTCAGTCAACGATAAAGGAAGGCTGAAATAATAGATTGGGGGCCGTAAGGAAGAAGCCAACCATCTTTCTTTGACTCACCTTGATGTCTAATCCTTCAATTCTTGATACAATCGTGCTCAATATCAGGTAAGGAGAAGCGGAGCAAAGAAATGGTGTAAGCGGAAGTCCCCAGTGAGGCAAGAGAGGTGATGTCGACCTCTGCCACCAAGAAAGAATGAAAAGAAGATTTTAGAGAATTCGCTTTTCATACTTCCTTCTGTTGATGGTCTCTTTTGCCTTTACTGCCTTGACTTTGGCATTTCCAATTCCATTGGCCTAACACGATCGGTCATCTATCTGTCCTTTACCCATGCACTTCTTCGATCGTTCTTTCGTTCTTCTGCTTAAAATATCTAGCTCTTTTAGGCCATAGTAGCATGGTCTTCTCTTAGGTTTCTCTTGGATTCGGAATGGGAGCTGCACGTTAGCACTTTTGACTTTCTGACTTTTCCGGCATAAGAGGTGTCTTGTCTCTTTACTGTCCCGGTCCTCTCTCTTTGCTGTTTTAGCGGAATAAGCAGTCTTGATGCTCGGCCTGGTACCGTCCGTAAGGTGATGGGCATAGCTAAACCTGGAACCCTGTCCCAATACCCGGAGCTAGTGGATTCGTTAGCCCATGAAGGCCATAATAGAATCGCTGCCTTAGACTTAGAAGGCACCGCGGCCGTTCACTGCTTTCGCGAGAAAGCTCTAGAGACCTCTTTAAGGTACTTTCCCTCGTAGCCCCCTACAACCGGAGAAGCACCAGTCTCGGTACCAGTATCGGTGGAAAACGCCCGTATCGTGTAAACACCCTAACTGGAAAGCACAGTATCGAAGGTCGACATCTTACTTTGCTCTCAAGGCCTCACGCCATAGACTT